TAAGTGCTTAATAATGTGAAAAATTTAATCTTGCCCGAACCTAGTCCACACAGTGGGTTAGAGCTCACGTAATACTCTGCACTGACTTTCATAGCACAAAGCACAATTGTAATTAATTATGTAATAATTTGGTTATGTCCATCTTCTCACTAGACTATAGATTTCATTAGGGCAGAGACTTATATTTCTCTACTATATTCCTGGTGCCTTGTACATGCCTGGTGTAAACAGGTGTTCAATAACAATTATGAATTAATAAACTGCAGCAGATGCCCTTTGAGGGGATGACTGGATGTGCAACTCACAATATATATAATTGATAAAGAGGTAAAAGAAAGTCGTGACTGTTGCTAAATTCAGAGGTAGAAGAGGTTAAAGAGGTAGAGATGAGAAGAAAAATCATACCACCATACAAAACATTCTGAGAGGTTAACACAACAGAGGTGAAAGCAGACTTCAAAAAGGACATAATTTCCATGAAAAACACGTCAACTATCAAGTCACAGAGTTTCCCTGGGACTTTAATGGAGGCTTAGTATGAAAGGAGGTGTAACTACCTCCCCCCACCAACTACGCAGGATTGACAAAATTGCGCAGTGGGGAGGGAGATACGTACTGGGCGAATGTCTGCTGAGCTCCAGCTCTGGTCTCTCCAGGCTGCTCTGAAAGTCAGGAGGCAGCAGGGAAGCCACTCCCTCAGGATGGATCATCTCGTCCTCCGACTCAGCTGAAGCTTCTGCAAAGTACAGATTGGGTCGGGGCAGGGAGGGAGTGAAGGGCTCAGCATGTGGGAATATGTAGAGGAGTGAAGGAGATCAGGCAAAGTCATGGATAGAGTATATACTAAAAAGAGTGCTTTACATAGAGAAAAACTCCCTAGGATTAAGCTCTTCCTCATCTAAAAGGGTGCCTTAATTTACTTATTACTCTTCCTGTTGGCAGGAATCCTTTTCTAATAAGATAGTCAAATTGTCTTCTTCCCTGACAAAAGGTAAATAGTAACTCACTTGGCATAAACTACCAAAGCAAATAAAATAGTCTTAGGCTGACTTATTCCTGAAATTGCCTAGTTAAACAGGCCCATCTACTCAGTTACAGGAACAAGAATGAAGAACTCCTTGTAAGAAGTGACAGTCTGGGCTTACCTTCAAGTTCTGCAGCTTCTCGAGCTTCACGTTCCAGACGCTGCCTAAGTAGCTCCTGCTGCTTTTCCAGATACTGCTTTATGAAACTGTTCTGGCTCATTTCCTCACCAATCTGTGTTGAGGACATGAAAAAAAAAAAGTCTAGGAAAGCAAACTAGGAAAATGCAAGGAAGAAAATTCCATGGAGCAAAGGTCTACCCCTTATATCTGGACTCAAGAAAGATGATTAAAATGTTGGACGGCTTCTTTTTAAGCGACTTTTATGTTGAAGATCAAAATAAATGGTCCTATGATTCACAAAAAATGGCAAAAAGAGGAACTGCACATAATTTCTTATTTTATTTTTTAAGTATATATATATATATATATATATATATATTTTTTTTTAAGTATATATATTTTATTGATTTTTTACAGAGAGGAAGGGAGAGGAATAGAGAGTTAGAAACATCGATGAGAGAGAAACATTGATCAGCTGCCTCCTGCACACTCCCCACTGGGGATGTGTCCACAACCAAGGTACATGCCCTTGACCGGAATTGAACCTGGGACCCTTGAGTCCGTAGGCCGACACTCTATCCACTGAGCCAAACCAGTTAGGGCTATAATTTCTTATTTTAAATATTCAGTTCCCATCCAAAAAGCGATGCACAACTTAAAAGTAATAAAAATTCCTGTAAAATGTCTTTTAATCTAAATTTTTAGATAATAGGAAATAGTATCTAAAAATAATCTAAATTTTTTAGTAATATCAAGAAATAAAAGGGGAAAATACTAGGTCATACTATTTCATCTTTTATTGTTAACAAAAGAACAATCTCTACCTATCTAGGGAACAGTTTAACAAACATCTCCAAAATTCAAGTACAGTACTTAAAAAATATGAAAGCAAGAGACTACATAAAGAGATATCCATTCAGCTTTAGACAGGGTTCTAACTCCACTTTCTTTGGGTGATAATACTTGGTAACAATATTTAAAATGCAGTCGCTTAATCCTTCCCATACTTTTTTTTGCAACACAGACTCCCACATCACTCTTCTGCCCTTCAGCTTTCTCTCCACAAGTCCTCCACCCAAGAGCCTTCTTGCTTGACAAATGCTATTAGAACTCCAGGAAAAGGAAAAAAAAAACTAAATATGTTCTATGTTACTAGTCATCTTTCCTAAGCATAGTAAATGTTTGCTTTCACCTAAAGTAAGATGAGTTTCTTGGTACTCAATGAACATTGATGAAGTGTGGGTTGCATGTATTAGAGAATGTATGTATTTACTGCAAAAATTCTGTTAATAAAAGCAAAGCTTCAAAGACTAAAATGCAAAAGGAATATAACCATAAACTGATTAACTTATGCAGTGTCTTATGCTTAACTAAATCTCTGTGAACAGGCTATATTATAAGACAGCTTAATGAGGTGATAACAAGGGAGTAAGAATTTTTCCAGAGTATCTTGGGACTTCATCTAGTACTGGAGCTGCACACCACTGCAATAACAAAGATCTGGATTTTTCCTTTAAGTGCATGACACACTACAATGATGAGATTTTAAAATGGAAAAAAATCTTAAGAGATCATACAGTCTAAGATAGAGCTAAAATATTAGCTTTCAAGGTTGTTGTTTTTTTAAACTGTGGGATGATTTCTTCTAAAAAAATCTTATGCAAAAACTCAATATACAAACCAGATAAAAATAGATCTAATCTAGTTTAAGAGGGGAGTGTGAATCTCTCCTTACTTGGGAAAAGGTATCTTCCCTCGGAAGCCCTCAAAAAGCAGCTCCACAAAACCCCAGCAGAGCAGTTACAGTGCTATGGATCTAGTTCAACCTCTTTATCTTATACACAGGGAAGTTGCGGAAACCAAAGCTTTCAAAGGTTAATTATCTTGCCCTAAGTAACAGAGCAATTAATAATGTTTAGGAGTAACTTTATGGTTAGTATTAACACTTTTAATGGTGGATGATTTCCAAAAGATTGAATTCTTGGAAAATCTTAGCCAAGCATTTTCCTTACATTATATCTACATTCAAAGACCACTGTTTTCCCCAAATCAATGGCAAATAAATGACTTCAGATCCCAGTACAACACTTAATCAGTTGGAGCCACATTTTTTCTGCACACACCATTTCAAGTATCAGAAATCAACTAACAGCTCCTCCGATTCTGTTCTTGAATTCTTTATTAGAATTCAACTGCCCTGGTCTGAGAACATTTCCGACCCAGGGAACTTAGGAAATATTGGTAAGGAGTTAAGCATCAAATATACATCGTGTCCTTCCATGTATCTGTGCATCCAAAGAGCCTACCCCATCTAATGAACCTTCTTCCTTACCTGGGAATTTGGCTGAAATGCAGCATGGGGCGTTGAGTGTTTCTGTAAATTTTCTAGCATTAGAGCCTGGTATAGAAAAGGGCAAAAAGTCAGAAAACAGAAGAAGAAAAAACAAAAACCCACCCCTCCCTCAATCTCTTCATTAAGTGCAACGACTAACCATACACACTTAAACTGTACCTTCCAGGGACCTAAAAGCCCTTCACTAATACTGTTCTCATTTATCTTCAGAAGACCCTTAAAGGTAGCCATGGTTACTGCTCCCAAATGTACAGAGGTAAAATGTAGGCACACAAGAGACAATCAGGGACTTGGCTATGTAACAAAATCAGTGACAGAACCAGCGCTATAATCCCTATTACCTTCTGCACTTCTGACTAGTGCTCCTTCTAAATCTGGTAAAATTACTTCAAATACTCAAATCAGCTTCAAATACATGAAACCAAGATGGGGCTACTGGCTGTGGGCTGATTGAATTACTAGGTCAAACAGTTACCCAGGACTAGATCTACTCGAGATTCTTTTCAAAAGAGTGACACGTAGATTTATCAAATTTAAACATTTTCAAAAAGGAGGCTACAGAACAGAATGAACTCAGACTCTGTAAACTGTGCTCTAACCCAACACACACACACCCCCGCGCGCACAAGAAATGTCAGCTTGTGTATAAGCAACGGTCTGCCAACTTAACCCTTGAGCCAACCCAGCCCCAATACTACCCACCACATATCCTAATTAACCCTAATTAAAACCAAGACAGCCTCATCTTCCCTCCATTCACACAAACCTATACACACCAATCCACCCATCCACCGCATGATGATCCCACCCCAGCTTACTCAAACCGATTCAAAATCCCCAACATATACCAACCTGCCTCACCTCTTACCAACATTCACCGAACTCCAATCTACTCAAATTGCTTTTGAATGCCCTATTAATTATACACCCCTCTCTAACCATGTCCCTTCAAATTAAGGATTCTCTTCACCTCACCTCCTAATATAATCAGACACTTTTACTCTACTCCAATCCTATTATTCTGGATACCGATACCAAGCCCATCAACCTCTCCGCCCAACTATACCCCTAACTCCGACCCAGCCCAACCCGCCCCCCCCTCAAGCCAGCAACGCCGGTGGTTGTAGTGGGATTTAACTCCTTCTGCAGCGCATGCGCCGAAACCACAGACACAAACAAGGAGCGGGTGGGGGAAGGAGGAAGGAGCTTAAGACACTCCGGGAGAGTAGCGCGCACCCTCCCATTTTGGGCTCGCGCCGCTGCCGTTAAGGCGGGAACCGGCGCTATCTCAATTTCACTGCGAGCCTCGCCAACCACCGTGCGCGCGGCTCCGGAGGTTCGCGCTGGCGGCCTGAGCGAGCTCGCGCCGAGCCCGGACACTGCGCCTGCGCCGCGGCAGAGACTCGTCTCTACCGGGTCCGCTCCCCTCCGACACCCCGGCAAAGCCGTCTCCTCACCCCTTTGAGCCGCTTGACCAGGGCACTCTTCTGCCCACTCTTGGCTAGGCCTCGTTGTTCCAGTGCGGCCTTCAGGTCGGTCACCCGTAGCGCCTGAAGAGGCTTCCCGTCCAGAGTCACCTCCTCCAGCTCCGCCATCTTGCGTGAGGTACTCGGGTCCGTCCCGACGGCTTCGGGCATCTTCGGTAATTTCCGCCAACGCCCTTCGAACGTACCGATCTGACCCCGCCCACTGCCGTAGTGAACCCCTCGATTACCACTCAGAACTCTCCGGGTTCCTCCGGAACTGCTCGGGTGTTTCCGTCTCCACATCGGCACCAATCGGTTCTCTCCATCCTCCTAGATGCTCCCCCCCTCCCTCGCCCTGCTTTTAGAACTCGGTTATCTCCGTTTCACGGAGGCTTTGAATCGAATCTATTCGGAAGCCCTCGACTTTGGCATAACCATGATCGGAGTCATTCGGCTCTCTTCGGACCTAAAGCTGAGGCGCTGAGGTGCTTGGGTGTTTGGAGCTGGTCCGGGACCGGAAGTGCGTGGGCTGCCTGGCTGGCCTTGCTTAGGGTTTTCAGGAAACATGGAAGCGGTGGCGATAGTTGGAGCCTAAGTACTCTGATGGTCTCTCGGTGCCCTGTGAGAGGAAAGGGGAGGTAAGCGGGGTAGAAGCCCCTCCCTGGGCTGGGTGAGACTCGGTGTTTGCGGGTCACCCTCGTAGGGCAAGTCTCCCGCTCTTCTACGGAAACAGTTGCCGCCTCCCATCCTATTAAATCCCCACCACTCCCATCTAAGGCTACGTTGTTCTTTCATACTTCGAAATGCCAGGCTTGGTGGCCTCCAAAGTGGGCAAGTGGCAGCACCGTGTCTTCGGACTCAGATTGAACTAATTCATGATCACTGAACTTGAGTTTGCCATGGAAGCCAAGACTTGGGAAAAGTTCTCCCTTTCCCGGGAAAGGAGAGTAAAGTTCCTTTCTGAGGAATTGCTTCCTGTTAAGGCCACTGAAAAAGGACAGCCTTTCTCAGGACTGTTTTGGTACTGAACTGATGTTATTGCTCGGGGGTTCCTTTCTTTCTCACTGCAAATAATCCAATTTGCAGTAGAAGAAATACAAACAGTAAAATAGCTCATATACAATAGTAGTTTAAGGTTTTCATTGTTGGAGATTCAATTATGGGCCTTGGAAACTATTCAGGTTGGCTGACCTAGTTGCATTAGTGGTGCAAATCAGTGTCAGGGCATCAATAGGTATTATATTAACTTTTTAAAATTTGATTTTAGAGAGAGGAAGGGAGAGAAAGAGAAACAGAAACATCGATCGATTGCTTCCCAAACGTGTTCTGACCAGGGATTGAACCTGTAACCTGTGCGGTGACCAGGAATCGAATCTGCCATGGGAGGATGCTACAACCAACTGAGCCACCTCCCCTGGGCTCAATAGGTATTATATTAAACATTAAGGACAAATTTTCAAAGACATGAATTGTCATCTACAGCAGTGTAGTAACATTGTTCAATCTTTAAGCCACCAAACCAATTAGAATTTTTTCAGCCTTATATAAACAGGTTATTCTCTTGTTTATCTTACTCTTTTATCTTATTTTGGGCCAGGTGCCCATCACTTATTCTGCTCTTTAATTTTTTCCTGGTGCTTTACAGAAAGTATAAGGAAGTAATGAATGTTATGAAATTCTTGGCATATTTTAGAAGTTATATGCATATTGCAAAGGAGGTGTGTGTGTGCGTGCGTGTGTGTGTGTGTGTGTGTGTGTGTGTATGTGTGTGTGTGTGTATTAGTGCCCCATGTGCACGGATTTGTGCACATTGAAAGGAAAATAATTAGAAGCTGTCTGGCGGGGTGGGACGGGCTGAACACGCCCTGGAGCCAACCTCCCTCGGTCCCTCCCCAGCTGGCCACACCTAGGGCAGCACCTCGACTCGAAGGGCATCTGTGGAGTGAGCGGGGTCCCTCTGGCAGGTGGAGTCCCTTGGCCCAAGGGGTCCCGGAATTGCAAGAAGGCAGTTCTCAGGTGACACTCCCAGAATCAGGCTCTCTCCTCTCTGGTTCCAGGGTGCATAACCCCAGAACCGCCACTGCCAAGTGACCACAGCTCGGCAGCTCCTGAGTTGAGCATCTGCCCCCTGGTGGTCAGTGCACGTCATAACCTAGTGGCCAGTTGGATGGTTGCTTAGCCCTTTATATAAATAGATAAATGTTATATAATGTGTTTTTTTCCCCTTCACTGTTGATATTGCTGGAATGATTAGTATCTAGATCCTCCCTGACCAGCTGCATGTACTTGATTAAAAAATGGGTTCCTTTTTTTTTACTTAGGGAAGATGTGATAGACCAACATTAATAATTGTGTGTTTTTTTGCCTTTACTCAGTCTGAAACATAGGAATAGGCAGGAGAAAACAAGCAAGAAATGTATTGGAGAAGCTGGAATTATTGAGGGTCAAGGAACAGCAGGGAAAGAGGAAGAGAAGAAAAAACAAAAGAGAGGTGGAAGGGGTCAAACAAAACCAAAAGGCACCTACACATAACTCAAGGTTACCATAGCCACAATTCCCAGAGCAAAGAAGATGTATGTAACAAGAGTATTTGGCCTTGCAACTTTTGAAATTGATCTTAAAGAAGCACAAATATCTTTCTTTCCCTCAAAAATTCTCCTGTGGTGCCAAAGTAACAAGAGGATGAAATCATCATTCAAGGAGACTTTACAAATGACATAATTGATGTCATTCAGTAAAAATGGCCAGATGTTGGTCATGATAGCATCAAACATCTTGGAGAAGTGAAGAAGTGATTTTTAATTATCTAAACTGAGAGTTGATATGGCCAAAGGGAAAGAGGTTTTTTTGAGAAAATATATGTTTATCCTACAGTAAAACTGTAAACTACCCTCACCCTTGGCATTTTCACAGTTCTGTACAAGGCTGTTTTTTTTTTTTTCATTGCTATAGTCTAATAAACGGGAGACATGCTTATGCATGAAATAGAATTTAGTCCAAAAATTTTGGTCATTTGCCCAGCCAGTGTGGCTCAGTGGTTGAGCATTGACCTATGAATCAAGAGGTCATGGTTTGATTCCCGGTCAGGGCATATGCCTGGATTGTGAGTTCAATCTCCCTTCCTCTCTGAAATAAAAAATATATATATTTAAAAAAAATTTTTTGGTCATTTGAAAAAGTGTTGGTTATTTTTAGATGATAAGGATGATGGAGGGAAACAGTGGTTAGGGAGGGTAATAGGTTTGAAAAAGAGAGGAAGGTTGGCAAATATAAAATGAAGTTATTCTTGGAAAATTTCTCTAAAGTCGTTGGATTACAACTGAAATAAAGGACCCTGTTTCCCGGTAAATTGAATTGGTGAAAAGTAATTTTTTAAAAAATATATTTTTACTGATTTCACAGAGAAAAGGAGCGGGAGAGATAGAAACATCAATGGTGAGAGAGAATCACTGATTGGCTGCCTCCTGCACCCCCCATACTAGGGATTGAGCCTGCAACCTGGGCATGTGCCCTGACCAGGAATCAAACCATAACCTCCTGATTCATAGGTCGATGCTCAACCATTGAGCTATGCCGGCCAGGCAAAGTAATTTTCTTTTAAATGCTGATGGGATGTGATAAGATTCCTTGTTGTTGGGAAGTTATATTTTGATTGATCTCTCTAAAGAGTATATAACTGCTTTTATGTTTCAGGATGCCACTGGAATCATCATCTTCGATGCAGCTATCCTCCTCTTCTCTCTTACCCTCAGTGCCAGGCAATTCTATTAACTCTTCCCTTCCCCCAATGTCTTACATCACTTCCCAGGAAATGAAGTGTATTCTTCACTGGTTTGCCAGTTGGTCAGGTCCCCAGCGTGAACGTTTCCTACAAGACCTGGTAACTAAAGCAGTGCCAGGAAAATTACAGCCATTGCTAGAAGGTCTGGAGCAGCTTAGTGTGTCTGGAGCCAACCGACCACCTTGTATCTTTGAGTGCCAACTACGTCTTTGGGATCAGTGGTTTCGAGGTTGGGCTGAGGAGGAGCGCAATGAATTTGTCAGGCAGCTGGAGGTCAGTGAGCCAGACTTCGTGGCAAAGTTTTACCAAGCAGTGGCTGCTACAGCTGGTAAAGACTGATAGGCATTAAAGTCAGAGAAGACAACCATAGTTGATGGAGCCGAAGCCACAACTCTACAGTGAGAACTTCAGATGTGCCACTTAAAGGTCTGGGGATGGTATCCTGATTCACTGACTGAGCTTGCTGACTAGTACAGGCCTGGTTATTTCAATGTTTACAGCACACCTGCTGGACTACTAGTGTAAATGTTTTCCATCTAAGCAAATCCAGAGTAGCAGTCTGCCTCTAGCTTACTTCTTTCCAGGAGATGTCAAACCCTCAAGAATGTAATGGCTTCTTTTGCAACTATAACCAAAAGGCACCTACACATAACTCAAGCCTACTGCTGGCCCATGGGAATATAAAGTAGAACCTTCCTACTCCAGAAGCAGGAGAGAAGAGCAATAAAAGGTCACGTTTTTATATTTAGCTGGATTCAGATGTCTGGTTTCACCTCCCTTAGCAGATTCAGGCATAATTAATGTGACATCCTAACCACTAGCTTTTCCTGTGATGATTTAGAAAAAATTATGGAAAAATCAGAAGAGGGAGATAATTATTCCTTCCTCCACACTGATGTGTGTTTGAATCCAAATAGAAATGACTTTTTCCAAAAGCATATGTGATATCCTTGGAGCTGTTAGAAGATATTCTGTAAGTTTGCTCTATAACAATATGAAAAAAAAGTGACATTCTTTAGAGGTTGAAGGGTTTATTTTTTTGTATCAAAATAAAGAATGAATCTTTGGAATCATAAGTCTCTACCTGTTTTTTCATTGCAAACCCAGTATGAAAAGAGGCATTCTGAGAAAATTAGAACTTAAGTGTAGCTAGCAGGTTGACCCCCATCCAGTTGTCTTCCAAGAAATAATCTGTCCTGCCCCCATCATGCTCTGGGTAACATCACACCTCCCTTATTCCTCCTAATGAGCCCCTTGGGCTTTGGAGCTCTGATGAATGGTAAGGGGCAGATGGTCCCACCTGAAGAGTAGCTCGTTTCTGATAGGCCACGGTTCCCAGTGCACCCACCAGGATAAGCAGCATTAGGCAGAGCACTACTGACAAACCTAGGTGGGTCATGGAGGAATTATGACCCGAGGTAACCAGGAACCTAGGAACAAAAGTAATATTTGGCTTGGAATAATGCCTAGGCTTAGGAGGTGAAGGGCTTTATTATACATAGAGCTCATAAAACCCTACTTTATGCAAACAGTAAACTAAACAGAAAATAAGAGTGACTACAGAACCTGAAAATAGGAATATGACCAATATCCAAGTCTTCAGCATCTTAGATTGTTGGAAGGAGACTTAACTTGACAGGGAAGTGGCTTAAGGGGAAGGTTGGCTAAACTGGTGTTTAGGTAGTTAGACCTGGTGCCTGGATAGTGCTTAAAAAAAGAAGGGGTGGTAGGATCCCTATGTCTTAGAGATGGGGGAACTCCACTATCATGATGGGAGGGGTGTCCTATAATGATAGGCCAGAGATAATCAAGTCAGGGATCCTTATTTCCTGAAATAATCCTGTATAAACTCATGTATACACATGAGTAGGTGCTTAATAAATACAATTTCAAACATCTGGACTAGGAATTGGAAAAAAAAATCTACATGCAATGTTATCTTACTTGCTGTATTCTGTGGTAAAGTTGGCTCCTCCATAATATACTTCTAGAGGCTTCTTCTGGAGAGTCAGGGTCAGGGCCCTGTGCAGCATACCAACCGAAGGCCCTTGGCAACCAGGGGGCTTCCACATATGCACAGTGAACACCAGACTAGTGGTAATTGAAGGGCTGTGGAAATAGCACCTAAATAGACATTTGGATCTATTAATGGAGCGATAGTCCCTGGAAGGCTATATCTCATGAAACATGCAGGCTTAGGAGTGGGATGAACAGAAAATCTCCAGAAGACAATTGTGAAGTAAAGGACTTAAGCATTCTCTATGGCCCATCATAAAAAGCCTCAGCCTGAATTGTCCCTTTTTACCTTCTAGCGCCTCCTCTGCTCACCAGAGACTGCAGGATTGCTTCAGTCAACTCTTGTCCTTCTTCCTTCCCTAGGGAATGGCTTGGGGGCCCAGCTAATCCGAAAGACAGCCTGAATAGCAGGTCTTGGGTTGAAAGACTCATAGATGGGGAAGTAACAGCATCTGTATCTTCATTAGTCTGACACAGCCGACCCCGGGGACAGAAGAGAAGACCATAGTACCCAGGTATCTACAAGGAAACATGTAGCAGGTTAGTCAGTTACTTGCTCAAGTCCTCCTAAGAAAATGTACAGTCTAGATCAGAGTCTTGGGCTCAGAGGTTAGTTGGTAAAAAATGAACAGAAAATAGTTTGGTTGGTACCACTGTACAAACATTTCCAAATTTCTTTTAGCCAGTGTGCTACAGCTTTTTCACCTATGACACCCACCTGAATAGCCTTTCCTGGAGGGCATGAAACCCAGGGGGATCCCTCCAACTGCACCTTGTAGGCCCCCCTCTCTGTGCATTGATGTAAGTAGCAGTGGCCAGTGAGTTCCTCTTCCTTCAGGTGTGGGATCTGAGAGGGATGTCTGGCCTTGTCCCCAGGGAGCAGTTGTGACGTGAGGTTGGAAAGGAAGCAGCGACTCTGGGAATGGTAGATCTCCCCATGGGGATTCTCTGCACCAGGTGGGAATCCATTTTCCTTTTTCCAGCATTCACTCTGAAGAGCAGGGCAGAAGACAGAATAGTGTTTGTCTCGATGTCTTTGAAGTTGACTCCTCTCTTTGTCCATTCAGTTTCACTGTTTTCTAATCTACTCACCCGGTTGGCCAAGGGCTTGTACATGCGGCAGCCTTCCAGCACAGGGTCTGAAGAGCAGCTTCCCTTGTCCAAGTGCAGGTAGTGGCAGCCCAGTCCACTGTACGGGCGGAATGGTAGAGTGACACTCGGATCACTGACAGCTGCACAGCCCCTCTACCACTCAGCACACATACCTGCCAGTACAAAAGAAGTCTGAGGAGCCACTCCCACATGTGGTCACCAGGCCAAATTCCGGGCCAGATCCTTTTTGAGAGATAGGGAGAAAGAACATTCAAAACAAATGAAGCCCCAAACATTCCTCCAGTGCTAGCTATGCTTACAGCCTCCATTACATCTTAGCAGCAGATATTCTTTCCAGCCTCTCTCACTTCCCCCAAGCTGACTTCGGTCATGTGTGCCCTCTGCAATGCTCCCGTATTTCTCACCATGGCCCCACAACAGCTCCTCGGCAGCACTGTGGTTGACTTGGTACCAGCCTGAGTCTTTGAAAGCAGCAAGAGTGATTGGGTCTAGTCGAGTGCGCTGGGCACCATCGAAGACAGCGGTCATTATAGAGCCTTGGAGGAGTCGGGCCTCCCAGTGTGAAGACAAAGGGCCCTAGTGGAGGAGTCAGCTGGTTGCTACCTGGCTACTCCCTCTTCCTTCCATCACCCCAAGGTGTTCTTATTCTCACCTCTTCTTCCAAGGGGGCACCCAGTGAACCCCCTAGCACTCCCAAGTGTTTGGCCAGGCTGTGGCTAACAGTTGGGGTGGTGAGAAGCAGCTGTCCCCACTCATCTCGCCTTGTCACCTGTTGCCTTGTAGAACAGTTCTCTCCAACTGATTACAGAAAGGGGAGAAGGCAATATGAGGAAAGGTGAGGTGGAATTGGAAGGAAGAAGTTCATGAGATAGTAGTGATTCCTTGTATTGACATTGTGGGAAGGCCTCTTCCTCATTCCTCTCATTTACCGCTGGGTCCTGAGGGGCAATCCCGCCACTTCTTGAAGAGCTGTCCAGAGAAACCCAGGGCATGGAGCAATTCGTGTAGTGTGGCCTAAGGACAAATGACAGCAGAGAGAGGGAACTGGGTTTGCAACAGGATTAGCCAGCCACTCTATAGCTTTTCTGCCCCATCACTTCTTAGAACTTGAGACACCTTTTATTGAGATAATGAAAGGGTCCTTGGAGCTTGGGAATGAGGAAGCTAATGGCAACTTGCCTTGGGTGCGGAGGTGGAGGAGACAAGGAAGAGAAGAGAAGGGAAAGGAACAGAAAGGAAGACAAGGGAAGGGAAGGGAAGGGAAGGGAAAGGCATGGGCAGGTGTGCTCTGGGGAGGGAGAGAGCCTATTCCATCCTTAATAGGTTCTTCCACTTCATGGGAAGCTGAGTGACCTGCCCCACCTCACCCAACCTGTCACTATACAGCAGTCACCATGACGATGTCACTATGGTTGAGGCTGGGGCTGGTGAGATGTTGGGCACAGTAGACAATGGTACCAGCAAGGGGCCTGTCTTCTGAGTCCAGCTGGCAGCAGGCAGCATAGGCAATGACAGAGGGCTGTGGATGGATGAGTCAGGACAATGTATGGGCAGAAAGGAGAGAAGGGGGGTAACATAGAAGAAATCTTCCTGAAAATGGAGGTTCAGTGTTACCAAGGGATGGTTTAAACTTTAGAGGGTTTTCAACCCTCACCTAAACTTCATCAGCATGTCCAAAGTTACGCCAAATAAGCACAATTTAATAAAAACTGCTTTTATGCTCCTTGCCCCTCGTTTAAGATTAAGAGAGGCAGAGTAGGGAAAAGGGATTTGATTTGAACCTCACCTCTCGGTGGCACTTGGCAGTGTGGGCAACCCGCACGTACAGGAGAAAATCGGTATTTTGGACCCCAGGCCCATCTGGCTGGATCAGTTGCGGGGGACCCTGCTCTGGCCACAAAGCATAACCACGGAGATGGGCATCAGGGATCTGGCAGGGAGTGAAATGTGACATCTAAATGAGCAGATGGGCTGGAAGATATGACAATAGGAAACTGGGTACTAGGAGTGAGGGGCAAAGAGTTTCTATGTCCAGTGTGTCTTCGTGTCATCTAGGCGGCTGGTGAGAATGAGGAATTCTACCGTCACCCACCCTACCCCAAATCTCTGATTTAATAAATTGCCAAAGGGACACGGGGCTCAGGAACCTGTATTGTTAGGGAGCACATTAAGTAATTCTGATGCTGTTGGTCTTGGAGAGATCTAAGCAGGCTCTAGATCTTCAGATCTCCAAAGCTGAGAATGTAATCTCACCTTTGCACCCAGGCAACTTTCTCCTTTGTACCCTGGGTTCAAGAGGCTGCATCTGCAAAGAATGAATATCTGTGGGTAAGCTGGAGACATTTCTGGGTACCCTGAAGAGGCATTGTATACATTCACAATGACATGAACTCACCTGTGGTAGTTTGGAGTATCTGGGTCTCCCCAGACAGCATGGCAGTACTGTGCAGGGTCTCGGCTCAAAAGCAGGGGTCCTTGCACTGGAGGCACTAAACAAGATGAAAGGTCCATTTCACCTCAGTATCTTGGAGTTCCAGTTCCTCTTCTGTGGTGGCTTTCTGCCTCAGTTCCCTCTGTTCCTCAGCCTTCCCTGACTCCTGTTCATCTACTCACCTGCTAGGACACCCTGGAGTCGCTGAGCAGCCTCTCTCACTGCGGCCAGGGCTCGGGATTCCCCACCCATCCCATCTCCCTCAGGATCCCAAGCTCCACCTGACACAGGGTCTCTTATATGGCAGGTTTGAATTCGGAGGGGCTGAGGATCACGAGAGCCAGGGAAGGTGAGAGGGGAAGAGCGGATGTTCGAGGGAAGTTGGGAGGAAGGTGGCCTGAGAAGGCTCACAGACTTCTGTGTCTCGTCATGTAGACACCTGCGTGTGGCAGCCCCCAGCAGCAGCAGCAGCAGCATCTTCCGTCGGTGTCTTCCAGAGCCTGCCCTGAG